TGCTGTGATTTATTACATTTTATTATCATTGGTTCAGTCCAACTATCTGCGGACAACTTAGTCTGTTTTAATCGTGTCTGCTTTAAACTTCCTAACATCAAATTCTTACGTATTTGTTTCAATTACTTGTGCTTTCTTTAAACTAGTATGTAAGTTGTGTTTAACATTCATTTGTTTTCCAATCGCATACTCTTCAACCAACTTACTGTATTTTCTAATACAACCTTATACATTTTATTTCAACAGCATTGAATGTTGTTTTGAGTTGAGACTAAATAAAATACGCTTGTTTGAGTTGTTCCCAATTTTAAGAAAATGGGGTTCCAGCTACATTGAATCAAAATGTCTGCAAATCATTTCTCTGGTACTTCAAAAGTGGCTGCTTCAAGCCAGTGTCATCCAGTTTGGTTGTAGTCCGTACACCTTGTACATATTATAGAATACCTGTAGAATTTTTCAATACTAGTCTGACAGCAGGTTGTAAAAGTTCTGAATGACATGATTTCTTAATCCATGCATGTAGTCGTAACATTTTAGTGACTTTAAAGGTCATCATAGCAACGACTGGAAACCCCAATTAGATTTCTTCATTTTGGTTGAAAAGCAAATTTTCATGAAATCAGTGAGTCTAGTCGGTCATTTTAGTTGTTGTTAAGGTAGTCTTTAGAGTCACTCCAACATTTGGAATACATATTTCAAAGAGTGACTCTTAAGGTCATCCTATCAACTGTTGATATAACCAGTCAGGTTTAAGTATTTGCGACGAAAATCATTTCGGTTGAAAAAGCGAAATTTAATTGGTCGTTTCAGCAGTTGCTGTGGTGTTCTCAGAAGGCAAGTAACTCAACCACAGATTAGTCACATGACTTTTACGAGTGACTTTCAAGGTCATCCTAGTACCTCGTGAAATAACGAGTGACTCAGAATGCCACCCAAACAAATACTGAGATAACCAATTAGGTTTCTGTATTTCGGCTGGTTTGGGCAGATTTTCATAAAATATAGAAATCTGATTGGTTAATTTAGTTGTTGGTAGAATGGTCTTAAAAGTCACTCAAAATAACCAATCAGGGTTCCATATTTCGGTTAAGATGATGGTTACTTGGCTGTTTCATCAGCTGTTAGGGTGGCCTTTGAAGTCGTTCTAATTTGTGCGCCTTTCTGTGCAACCAACATAATGTGAAAAAAGTCTCCGGTTGCTCACCCCATTCTTCTGTTATCTGTGATCTGAATCAATCAAACATTCAACTGAATTACATGTCACAACAGAACATAATTTACAAAAATGAGGTAATTAATTTCACATGGAGAACACATAACTATTCCGGAACCAAGATTCATACGGAAATAAGTAAGGGATCAATAGAAAGCTCCTGAGTCAAGACAAGAGGTACTCTAATCGCCACCCTAACAATCGGTGTTATAATCAATCAGATTTTGATATTTCCTGTAGGATGGTAGTTTCTTATGAATTAGAACCTGACTGGTTATCTCAGCAGTTGTTAGAGTGGCTTTTACAGTTGCTATCATACTATGCAGTAGCTGCCTTAAGTGGATACCTTTTAAAATAAACAAAGATGTGTCGCCTGAAATTCGTATTTCCTTGTCTTCTGTCGATATGACAAGCACCTTTTCAATGTATATAATCCTGTGCCGCATAGTTTAACTATCGATCACCATTCTGCTTTTTATACTACTAAACTTCAGTTATGTTAGACTATGACTTCAGGACGGTAAAGGATACTTCTGTAGTTACATTTGTATGAATAGAACTTTTCATTGACATATTAATTACTGATGATAATTTGTGGTTATCACCGGTAAAGTATGTAACACTGTGAAGCATAAAACCTTAGTCCAATAAACAAAGTTCGATGGGTTATTATCTAAGCAATGTGTTGTAGTTTTTATTAATTCTTGTCACTTTATCCAACTAGGAAAATCAACATCGGAAAACGATAGGCTGTAACGCTAAGTACAGGTTTTCGCTGACCACTGTAGAACTAAAGGGTTCTGTTGTCCTTCCGCTTTCGCTCAATGACTTTGAACGCTTATTCGTATTTTACAATCAACAAAAAGCTTGCCAGTATTATCCAAGGAATCATTCTAGAAACTGAAAAGAAATTATATTGTATAAGATCATATTACAGTATTTACCATTTCTCCTTTATTCAAGTGATCGTATTGTTCCCGACTTAAAGAACTCGGGAATCACCAGCTCACACTGCACTTAGATTTGGCATTGATATGCGCATCACAATATCACATTATGTTTCTTATTCTAACTACTGAATTGCACTGTATGAATACAAGAAAGATAGCATTCCCTATTAACTCAGTGCCAACACTGAGAAGAAAACCTACTAGCCGAATAATTTTGATTTACTGGTTGGTTTCAAATTCCTATGCTTTAAAATATAAACAAAAAAACTTCATACCTTATTGCTTGACTCTGATGCCCAGTTTTTGTTAACTGATTCCGATTTATAGATCAAAAGGAGTGTTTATGATCTAAACTTGCAAGTTATTAGAAAGATAATCATTTCTTACCTCATAAAACTTGAAAGCTGAGTGGTCTTTTATACGCTTTTTTACTTGTAACATAAATTATGAAGCATTTTAAAGCCCCGTATATCAGAGGACCATTAAACAACCATCTGGTTTCTTACTGATCGTTTCAAAGTCATTTCAGATTCACTTCCAGACCACAAGATTCGTTAATTCTACAATTATATGGTATGTTTATTGTGAAGCACTTTGTAGAACAGAAGTGCTGTTATTTTAAAAATACTATTTTACTATAGTTTAAGTCAACACTCTACATTTCACATAACAACTGGTTTTTTACGGTTTATTTTTAGTAGATAGACATTTTTCAGCTATAAGGTGTCAAAGAGATATGGAAACATGACGTATTTGTCGGTATCTCAATGTATCGAACAGACTCAATAACGTGTTATACAATCCAAGTTTGAAGATTCGAAGATGTGATTGATTTGCTGGCCACTTTGTGTCATGAAGTAATATCAAATAGAAACAGTCATGAACATATGTTTCTATATCTAGTTTGAGAGTCCTAGTAAGTTATATCAGCCTCAGCCACATCTAGAATGAAATCCACCCCATTTACTTTTTACTCAAAGTAAGTCATGTTTTATGTAAGTATAAAATCTGGACACTATAGGAGAATGCAGTTCCATACTCACGATCTGAACGAATATTCTTTTTTTTAAATTCTCATCAAGCTCTACATTCATAAAATGCATTTATACAGCCTAAAAATAAGGCTAGGAGCCAGCATTTACTAAGTAAGCTTTATGTGCCACGACCGACACTAGTGATCATTTCGTTCAAATAAATATATAAAAATATCACAACAAATGGAAAGATTAATTAAAATAAGCCCAAAATTACTCATTTCACACAAATGACGTTACGGCTACCCTAGCAACTGCTAAACTGACTAATCAGGCTTCGGTATATTGCCTAGAAAAGTACTTTCCATAGAAAACAGCATTGTAATTGGCTATCGCACTAGTTACTGGGGTGGGGACTTTAGAGTCAGCCTTCACTTCCACTTCTGTTGAGTGACTTTAGAGGTCACCCTAGGAACGATTTAAATAACTGATCAGACTACTCTGTTATAAAAATCTGCCTTCCTAGCCGAAATGAAGAAACCTAATTGGCTATTTCGATCGTTGCTAGCGTGACCTTTAAAGTTATCCAAGTTAAATGTACAAGCATGTCTAAAATGGAGTAAAATTTAGGGATTGTAAGGGAATCGATTTTTCTTTTTCAAATTCGTCAATATCACAATGACATATATTAGTTGGATAATGTGATGGTAAAGAAAAAGGCGAAGAATAAAGAAGATAGTAGTGGCCTTTAGTTTTGACGAAAGCCAAGGGAAGTGTAACGCTTCGACATGTTATTTCTGTATGCGAAGTTCAGGTTTCACCATTCTTATTGCGACATCCTCAACTTCGTTCAGCAGGCGTTGGTCAGAGCTGCACGTGGTACTGATTTTTGAATACGATATATGACTCTAAAAGCTTTATTAGCACCTATGCAATGCCCTTTTCACCACTTTTACCTCACCCTTCCTGAACCAAGCCGTTAAATACTCTCACACCCAGAGACGTATTTGTTTAATCATACGCCCTATGTAACTTATTCCATAGGAACTGATGAATAAATGTCATGGGAATCTTGAAATTTTTGAAATTTGACATATTAGATTAGTTTATTAGATATAACATAGTATTATTTATTAGATGACACTTCGAGCAGAATTTATTGCTCATTTTTTTATCGCATGTTGGCTACTAGATCTTGCAGGAGTGACTCTAAAGGTCACATTGCTAACCACTGAAATGACCAATTAGGTTTCTCTACTTCGTTTGGAAAGGTAGTTTTTTCACAAGACAAGGAAACTCAGGTGGTCATTTCAGGGATTTTTGAGGCGGCCTTTTAGAGTCACTCATCTTGGAAACCCTAGAAATAACATAATTGGGAACTCTTGATGACATGATTTAAAAAACTTGTTATTGTCTACTTATCTGTCAAGTTACTCCACCCAAACTCTTTCCACTGTTTACTTTAATAAACCTGTGCTGTTGAACAATGCTGCAAGTCAAGCAACTGTATTGTTAATTAAGATAACGTGCTGTTAAGTTTTTCCATGGAATTGCTAAATCCTTTAAACAATGAGGTGTTTCATAGTTAATTTTCTAAAAGTACACTATATGCTCAGCCTGTTTATTGGATTTCTTATTGATTCATGATAATAATGTTGTATACAGATGAACTCAAGATCTAATACACTTCCTCAGTAAAATATGTTTTGCATTTTTATCTACAGCTTGCAGTTTTACATAATGCTATTGCTTGCATTCAAATTCTGCTAAATCCTGCATATATATGGAGTGCCTGTTCTGAGAATAAAAATAGACAAACTTGTGTGCAATCACTAAGACAAAATAACTGTTTAAAATTACATTATGGCACCAAATCTATCAAATGATACTTTCGATGCTGAAGAGTTTTCAGCAGGTCGTTCGGTTTCGTCACTTTTACTTTATCCACAAGCTTTCATCGATCAACCGTTTACATACAATGAGGTAAGAAGGCCATTTATTTGCCTGTATATCTGTGTATTTGCAGATTATTGCTAAAATTTATGCAGATAAAAATTCCAAGTTCGTGTTCATCATGAACTGACATCATTTGGAGGAACACTGGAAACCGGGGAAGCTGTTTCGCCCTAGTATGGGACTCTTCAGCAATGGACACCATGACCCCACTTAGGGATGGAACCCAGGACCTTCAGTTCCCGCGGTCAGCACGTTGCCACTAAGCCACTAAGTCAGAATCCAGTGGTCCATATTTCCTAATTCTGTCATTTCACGCTATAGCGCGACCTAAGCCAGTATTGTCGCTGAGCAACTGTTTTCATGTTTTACTCGGTTGACTACACTGGTTACGACTTCCAATTGGGACTTAAGGAATCACCTCTCAGAGCTAGTCACCAATGAGCTCCAGATTACTTCAATTTGGAAGTTTATGGGTTGGTATTCATCATTGGGCTATATTGGGAACTGACTGAAGTAGGAAATATGGACCACTGGATTCCGACGCAGTGACTGAATGGTGACGTGCTGGCCACGGAAACGAAGGTCCTGGGTTCCATCCCTGGATGAGGTCATGGGTGTCCATTGCTGAAGAGTCCCACACTACGACGAAGCAGCTGTCCAGTGCTCCCAGGTTTCCAGTGTTTCTTCAACTGATGTCAGTCCATGATAAATACCAACCCGAAATCAATAAAATTCCCACAAGCTTCCAAGCAGATGCCAAAACGATATCCTAGTAGGTCAACTGTCAATGTATAACATTTAGAACACTAAAGAGCTGCAGATTACGTACTTTTGGTAGCTAGTGAGACAGAGGAAATGATGATTATGAGACATCTTTGTTTACAGTGGAATTTTTAAGATCATTATAGATGACAGCTATGAAGTTCGCATTCTCTATAGTCAGCTAGTGAGTGTACAACAAAAGTTCTCAAAAGTTGAATGTTAACAGACTACTTCATCTTAGCTAATATCTAATGATGAAACTAAGTATTTGTCCGAGCAAAACTGTGATGACATGTGTGACACAGAAGTTAGATATATTGTTGAGCGATGTAATTACTTGAAAACCAGCCAGTTTGATAAATTGTGGGGTTCACCAACAAAATATAATTGATTCCTAGAAAACGAGTGATTATTCCATTCTCTTCGAGTTCTGGGCCATCAACAGAGTATCGAGAATGAATCGACTAATATGACTCATCTGTTCAAAACTCATATATCTAGCCAGCTAAAGTAGAGGATTTACTGTACCTTAATTAATTCACACAAAAAGAAGGTTTGAGAATTGTTTCAGTAGTATTGAGCAGTTGCTATTTGTGTAACACCCCAACTCTCACCATGATTTTATCTCTGGTCAAGTTATAGTTTGACTACATAAATGCTCCAAATTGCTAAACAGTTAACCGTTAAATGCTTTCGTATGTATTAGAAGTCAAGGTAAGATAATAACTTGAGGCCGAAAAATGACGATACGTTGTCGACTTCAAAAGTTAGTAGGATATGATATGATATGGACATTAGGAATCATGTTACTCGCACGTACAACATAATAGATTACACCTCAGTTTACTTGAGTACACATAAGAGACTTTTGCTAGTTTATGGAGTATTTACCTGCTCTCCAGCTGCTATCTACTGTTAATCAACAGTAAAAAGAATTCATACGTTTCTATCGCTTGAAGACTGGGCGACCAGTGTGAACATGATGAACGGACAATTCCGTATCATAAATTCGCATGGCAGTCGAATGAAACCCTTGGTGATTGAAATGAAACTATGATCCAGTCAAGAGCCGGTTCTCGAAGCTCATTTGGTAGAGCATTGGGTTGGTAACTCGGAGGCCGCTGGTACGAATCTTGTTGTGACTAAGATTTTCATTTCATCGTCAATTGTCACTCAGCATTTCAACAGGAAGGCAGAGATTTGCTGAATAAAATGATGTCATTTTATTCCATGGATATTCATTAACTAACTGTATACAGACTAAAATTTTATACCTTGCTTTGCTCCAAAAAAGAACTCAACACCTGAGAAAAGTAGCAAGACATTTATATGAGGTGTGTTAACACATTATCGAAAGAAGTTGGATGCAAATTGTCAGCTCTGGCATGTGGGTATGCAATAGGTGGCCGTTCCAACGGTGTTTCCCCAAGTGTCTTACTGTTTCTGTAGAAACACTAATCATGTGATTTGAATCTAATCTACTCAGACAGGAATAAAGTATGTAGTAACGTTCATAAGTCATATGTACCTAAAAAATATTACAAAAGTGATCAATAGAGTTTACGAGTGAGGTTGCGATCACAGACTGCTTAAAACCACTGACTTTCATCTGTGCCTTATAAAACATCATGCTGCATTGTTGCATAGCTAATGTACTGATCAGAAATTCTTGAAAATGTCTATAGCATTTGGTTAAGCATCATCTCTTATGATCAGTTAGTGCAGAACTATGCGACGAAAGGAAAGTTTGGAACAAACTTAAACTCCATATTACATCATAATCAAGTTCGGAAAACCTAACAAGTAAAGTTTTCGGAAAAAAACCTACTGACTTCGTTTTTTATGCAAATAGATAAACGTGCCATGGCAAACAAAGAACTTTAGCTCTTGTTATAATATTTATAAATCCCCGCTGTTATACAGGGCCAAATTGGTTGACCTCTGTTGGCAGATGAGTTCCCATGAAAATGCCTCAGTACTGCTGGATATTCATGGTGCTATATTGATTTTGGTGAGTAGCAGAGGAATCCATGTCGTGCGTTTCTACCTATTTGGGACTCGTAGGCTGGATGTACCTGTGCCACAGTGAGTGATACCCGCTGCAAAAGAGGTGGTTATCGTTCCCCAGTGGATTAGTGGATAAGGCTCTGGCGTTTGAAGCGATGGGTTCTGGGTTAGAGCCTCAGTGGTGGTAACAACACCACTCATTGGGTTGCAAGTAAGTCCAGTCGACGATTTCCAATTAGGACGAAACGTGCATTCTGCACTTTTCCGCTACTCACCAAGATGAATACGTTCGTTTTTCATTTCGGTAACAAACTGAAAATAATCAAAGTTTATGCGTCTCGCCATCTCAGTCAAAGATGTTAACGATGAGTAGAAAATAATAGGAAATTAAACTCATTATGAACAGGCTGTTTTAGTCCTCATGAAGAGATTTTTAGTCTTTTCATCATGTTTTAAAAGTTATCAGTCGTATGGTGGAATAGTAATCTCGTTTTTTTAAAGCTGGGGTACTCGTGACCCGTTGAACACACATGTTTTTAAGAATCAACTATTTCAATTTGGAGTTTTGTGGAGATTTATTTATTGATTTCAGGTGGGTATTCATCACGGAATGACCTCAGTCGGTTTTTAATGATTCTCCAACTGATGTCATTCTGGGATGAATATCAACCTGAAATCAATAAATAAATTCCAACAAACCTCCAAATTGAATTACTCTCCAGTGCTCATTAATGACTTGCTTCCAGCTGAGATTCCTGAAGTTCTTTTAGAAGTCGTGATCGGTTGGGGGAAAACCAAGCCGTACGTGAAGACAGTTACTGCACGATGGAACTGGTTGGAGGTCGCACTATAACGCGAACTGACAGAAGTAGGGGAATATGGACCATTGGGTTCCGACACAGTAGCTTAATGGTAACATGCTGGCCGTGAAACTTGAGGATCCAGTGCTCGGTCTCTGGTGGAGCGGGGTCACGGGTGTGTTGTGAGGCCCTAGTTTTGCACAAAACATTGTTATTGATGTGAACATTTTTTACTTGGCATTCTCACACCATTTTTTACGGTATGACTAGTAGTTTATTTTCTGCCCCCATTGTAATGAAATACGCTGATTGGTTAGTCGTCACTCTTACTATGCCAGTGTCTCAAATTATGGACAAAGTCATACTTCATGTGTGTACATATTCACGTGTTTTGGGATTGATTACTATTATATTCTCGGAGGAATAAACTCTCCCATCACCCAGCTTCGGTCTCCACTCTATTCGTCCCGGGTTGCAGTCAGTAGTTTTTGCGTACTAAGCTGTCAGTTAAGCGTGCGTATTATATCCGTTCGGAATATATCAGAGCACCGCGGAGGGGTCCCATGCTACGATGAGACAGCTCCAAGGTTTTCAACGGTCTCCCGACTGATGTTAGTTCGTAATGAATACCAACTGAAAGTCTACTGTTTGTTTAAATGTATAAGTTATAAAGTATGATAGAATTTGTTGGTGGATAAATGTTGGACAGGTGCTTTAGACACTAACTTTGCAGTTACTTATCTTACAAGAAAGCTTCCATAATATTGATCCTCTTCTACTAATTCCCTATATGAACTGTTGAAAGGAATTGCCAACTAAACTGACCGATATTTACCACGAAATCTTAGACGCTCTAGGCCAACTTCTTAAAGTGCGATATTAAATTCGACAACCCAACTATAGAATAACTGTAATCTTCAGTGTAATTAAATATTTCTTTCGTATCTACTGCTGGTATATCATAGTAGAGAAATGGCTCATCAGCTTAGGAGCCTGACTTTCAAACAACGAACCCTAGGTTCGGAACCCGCTACACCTACATCTGCCTCGGCAATCGAGTAGTATCAAGCTCTCACGCAACAAGTGAAGCTCATGATCTAGTACATAAACATGTACCAGGTTGAACTACATGATGTTTATATATTCATTTCCAACATAATTCCCAAGTGATTTTACTGCACAACTGTATGTTAGATATTCTACTAGGCTGTGAAGAATGCATGTTTAAAGAAATGTATTCACAACTACGACAATTACTGTTAATTTGTTAGGGAACATAAATTGTTGCTTATATGAGAAAAGTATTCTGTTAATTCCTAAAGTTTAGCACTATATAATGACAATTTTGTTTTACTTCCTTTTGAAACAGCTTTTCACATGGAATGATCACGGTGTTATGCCAGGTACAGCAGTTGGACATTTAACCAATCAGTCAGTGTAATCCATTTCGAAATTTATCGCTACTTTTTGAAATAATCATTGGAACACCAGAAATTTGTCCGACAATATATTTTGATGTAACTGAAATATGCACTTCTCTGAATGATATTAAGAAGTATTATCAATTTTATGATACAGCATTACATCGTAATCGCTCCAACTCTATAGAACTTCACTTCTCAACTATATTCTCTGAGCATATGACAGTCACACATAAATGGGATGAAATATGGAATAAATTATTTTATCGTACAGTAATTAAAAACAAACGGAATATTCAGTGGGATAATAGTGATCCATACATGTCTATCCAACAACCTTTTGAACTACAAGTCATATGTCGTAATACATTGAGAAGATTTGCAGTCCAACAAAATGGTAATGTTTGAAAATAATAGTCTAAACTATAAAAACTACTCACTAACTAAGATATTAATCAATCTGGTGTGAAATAAGCATATACTGGGTTGAATTATCAGACGGTAGGTGGGCTCGTATACCGATGCCTTGATACTGTCTAAATATTCATTATTGTTGTGCGTGGTCGCAGAGCCGAGGGGACATCTGTTTGAGGCCAGTCACATACAGCCTTTTTGATGCCACGAAAATTGGCCTGTATTATGGAAGGTGTGATCGGACATATGTTCTGTGGTTTTAGATCACCACTAACCACTGATGACTGATCTAAACCATCATAATGAGTCATTTAATTGTTTAAGAACATGTTAGTGGTAAGAATAACTGCTTTATGTCTAATCGCTAACCAACAAACCTTTCTGGCATGTTAGGACCTCGAGGGAACAAACATTCCACCACTACAGCCCTCTGTGTCAACGTGATATACAAGCTCGACCACCACATCAAGGTAAATCCAGCTGACGAGTCCCAAACAAGGCAAAACGCGCTTCCTGAATTTCACTGCTACCCACCAACATCAAATTGCAGCATAATAGATAATCAGACAATGTGTCGCTTCCGCTTTATAGGGTGTTGTAGGGATTACAATATCTTGTTTACCACTCCATCAGTAGCCAGGCATAAGGTACTGGTTAACACGATACCTCAATTTAAGGAACAATAATAATTGCTCTGTGCTAAAGTGTTGAACGTTTACCACCAACGATGCAATCTAACTGTGAGGAGAATTTACTAGAATCAATCCAGTTACTGTAAGCTGTCATAAGTAGATATCTAAAGTAAATGCCACAAATTTTTTTTTACAATAACTGAGATATTCTACAGGTGAAATCTTAAAGTACATCTTACTTTAAAACCAATTTGTTTTAGTTACCAGTTCCCCAGGCACTTGTATAATTAACTTATATCATGTGACATTTTAAACGACTAGAAGTTATATACTGTTGTAAGATAGGCATTAAGGTTAACATGTCTTAAGTTGTTCGTAGTGGTTAGTAGTGAAACCCAGAACATGTATTTCGTCCTATATACGTCTTCTCAGCTGAGTGTACCTGTATCTCAGTGAGTAGTGATGTTCCCGCTGAGAATCAAACCCCGCACCCATCTCTGCAAACGCCAAAAGGTTACCCACTAGATTAATGAGGTAGGATAACCACGTCTCGTATAAAAGATAGTAGTGTTATTTATCGATATTTGAATTTTCTTGTTGTTATTACGGAGCAAACCAATCGACGTTTGCCAGCAAATGGTCTCCTATCCAGTTGACGAGTGCCAAATAGGACGAAACGCTCGTCCTGGATTCCACTGTCAGCCACCAACAACAAATTAAAACATAATGAATCTTCAGACAATAACGTCGCATACGATCCCATTTGCTAAGCGAAATCGACCCTATCTGACAACCGGAAAATACAAGTAACAATAAGTCAAGGCCATCAATTTGTTCAAAGTATATTCAAGAGAATATATTAACAGATTCCAAGTATGAAAGATATTCTTTCAAAATACTCATTTCCCCCAATGGACAAATGTATTCAACTATTCTCAACAATTGAGTGCAGTTAAGATGGTTTAGGAGATTTAAACTATTATTATGATAGGATTTACTACGCACAATCAGTTCACTATAGGGTTCACTAAGTAGTGTTAACTTTTGCGATACGGAGTTAAGTTAGTCACCTCTTCAAATGGTTATCCATGAAGATAGTGAGTCACGGTAACTACGCCTTGTTTATTGATTATTTAATACTCGTATGGTTTCTATTTACTGTTGTTTATTTAATAAAGGAATGAATTGATGAAAAAATGTTGACCAAGATGACTTGATGAATTTGTATATTGTATTGTGTTACCGATTAATACTTATCACTTTGTTCTTAATATAACGTGTATACGATCAGAGTTTATTGTAGTTACGTCCAGTTACCTGCACACACTAAACTTGATGGTCGAACACAGTACTTTCCTGAGGAAATGATACAGTAGACTAAATGTATTCGAATGATAACTATCTCATGGCGGAAATCAATGAATGAATGAGTGAATATCATAAGAATAAACTGATGGTCAACTGATCGATGTAGATATTCCAGGTGTATATCTACATTCTACAGCATTGGTAAAATATATCACTCATATAACCAAGATATGGGTAGTACGCAGACAATAAATTCTGACCAATAAAAATATGTCTACAGTTTTATCATCTCTAATCTAATAAACATAGAAAAAGGAAATAAAACAAGAATCTATGGTTTGTGTTTAAACCAAAAATAAATTTACAATTTTAAAACAAGCAATAAACGTAATTAAAGCAAGACTTATTGAATTCATAAACTTCAGCAGAACTCGTCAGCTTTTTAATCTACATACCATGATTTTATATACTGTTGAGTAATAAAGGAATACATACAAATACAATACAGACTAAGATATTGCCTGAGGTATGGCAACATGGAGTGAACCATTTACTTATTTCAAACAGAGCTAAGATTAGGTTAGGAGGGGGTAACGAATTGATAACGAGAAATAAAAAGCCTAGGGATATATTACATCATTTCGAACAGAACAATTAGTAATCAACTAGATAGTTTGATAAACGTGCACACTGAGGGAACATAAGTGTTAAGTAAACAAAAATATTGGTTATAGTAGTGATAATACGAGTGAGTGATAATAATGATAATACTGGGTGATGATTGAAGGTGAAATGAGAATTTGAACCGTAGCCGGATTCCAACCAGTGACTACTGGGTTTTTAGCCCAGTCGTCTACCAACTGAGCTACACGGTCTGACTGCTAACCAGATTTCGATTTCGCTTCAATCACAAGCTGGGTTTTGCCTGACTACCATATGAATTCGTGACGCGTTACTACCTCTTGATCATATTCACGCTGTCTGCCTAGTCAGGACTTCTCATCCTAATCCAAGTGAACTAGAGAGGAGGAACATCATATTGATTATCATTTTGACAGTCTGAGATGGCTGTGGTTTGGCAGACTAGTATTTATACTGGGTGATGATCATCAGTAATAATAATCATAACAATGAAAATATGAATATTGAAAAGATTAAAAATTACATCATTTTGAACAAGGTAAATTAACATCAGTTAACAAGCTTGGTAACAGTGTAAAACCAAAGGAGGCTAGAGTAATAGTTGAACGATAACAATGATAATGGTGACGGAGATAAGTCATTTGACTATTAAGCGGAGAAGTACAAGAGGACATGATAGTACAGCAGAATGATAGTGAAAAGGTAAATATTAGAAGTATAGGAAGAAATAAAATGGAAAAACGACGCTAATGAAAAGAAAAATGTTCGAAATACTTCGACACCTCTACCACGGTAGATTCAGGGTGACTACCATCTCTTTCTGTACACATAGGCTCAGTTTACGAACTCTAGTCGCACATGCTTTCACGACTGCAAGCATTTTCTTATTACGTTGTCTATTGACAGCCGAGAAGGACTTAACGGGCGTCAACGTCATTGCCGATAATCCACTAGATGTTTCGTAATAGAACTCCACAGGAGTTCTTATGATTCGGCTTGTCTGAACCATTTAGGTAAATACTCAGTCATGCGAGTAGACGGACGCCTTTCAGTACAACCTATGTATCTGTTTCCACAAGTATATTCGAATTGGTATACAAAGTTTTCCCGATTGCTGAAACACCCACCTGGTGGTACTCAGTAGTACTAGCTCAGCTGCATAATAAGTTCTTTTGAACTTAGCTCTACTTGACATAAGTAAACAATTCACTCCGTGTTGCCATACCTCAGGCAATATCTTAGTCTGTATTATATTTGTATGTATTCCTTTATTACTCAATAGTATATAAAATCATGGTATGTAGATTAAAAAGCTGACGAGTTCTATTGAAATTTATGAATTCAATAAGTCTTGCTTTAATTACGTTTATTGCTTGTTTTAAATTTGTATCAGAAAACAAATGTTTTCAAATTTACAGTTATCAAATAATATATCGACAATCCAGAAATTGAAGTTTTGTTTAGCATTTTATGTAGTGATTTCTGTTAAATTCTGATGAAAATAGCGGTTATATTTAAGATGCTAATAAGAATGGAGGCATACCAACAACTTTGTTATGCAGTTAGGCTTTAACTAATAAAGGTCATAAAGTATCTAAAAAGTGTCTAGATAAAATCTTTTAGTCATAGCATTAGAAACCATAAAGTGTGATGTTGAAAGACTAAAGAATAAGAACTGTTTAAAAATTGTATACTTCAAGTAGGCTATTGTCTAACGTTGTTACAATTTCATGGTTACTATTCTTGCTGATATCACTAAACGTTAAATTGCCTCCATTCTAAGTGAATTTCCTTTTCGAATGAATCCAAACAACTGACATCTGAAATCTTGAAATCTGACAACACAGAACATCATAATGAAACTGATAAATAGAGGTTAAATGAAAATATTTTGTTAGAGTCAACATCTTTGAAATAAATTTCACAAAATCACTTCAAATTTGGTATAAGAGATTCACTTCATACTGAAACGCATTCAGCAACCTTGTGCAGTACACAGTGAGTCACACCGAGTGTATAACAGCCAGTGATACTACTAAGTTACCCAAATCTCGATAGGTTGAGGGGTGTTCGAACCAATGGTCCACTGAGTGAAAGCGAGCTGTCAACATGGAAGAGCCACAGCTCCAGTATGGTATGTTGAAGAATTATTTGGGCATATTATTAACCTTCAAGCACTTCGTTCGCTTGAGAAATTCAAACAAACTAAGAAAGGACAGATTTGTAGGGATATTCATCAACTGCATACAACCTAAAATTTTATATCTTCGTCAACATAAATGATAATTTTTACATGATAAAGTCGATAATTCTAGACGTGTAGAATTGTTGTCAAAAAGAACAAAGATTCAAGTGTAGGGATTCGCTTAACAATTGAAGTTTATGTTCATTGGTTGTGGGAAATCGCTAGGA